GGATTAGCTCCACATGAAGGAATGTGCAGGCCTGGGCAGCATGGTGACAGTGCCCTGGATCTGTCTGCGGCCACGCCACTCCAGAAGCACAAACCCAAAAGCTCCCTGCAGAGCCTCTCTACAGTGAAAGGGAGTCCTGGCTGTGTTTAAAGGTGTCACATGGCAGAGGTGTCTTCAATGTCCTCACAAAACACTCTTGCTTTGCTACAGACACCTAGCTGGCTTACAACTCCAACACATATTACAATATTTCTGCCAAGATATGTATATTTTTTCCAACTGATAGAATGATGGAGACCTAGGCAAAGATGTGAGCATAAATCAGGTTCTAAGGATTCCAAAGGTATTCCAAAGGTGTGTACCAAAGACTGAATTCCTGATCAAAGTTGCCTCTTTTGCGCCCTCTTGTGGTGCACAGAGAACATGCAGCTCCATGTGAGGACCAAAGGCTGAGTTACTTACCAAAGCTGCCTCTTCTGCGCCCTCTTGTGGTGAATGAAGGACATGCAGCCCCATGTGAGGACTAAAGGCTGAATTCCTGAAGGGAGCTGTCTCTTCTACACCTTCCTGTGGTGAACAAAGGATATACAACCCCATGTGGGGACCTGAGGCGAATACCTAATGGGAGCTGGCTCTTCTATGCCCTCTTGTGGTGCACATAGGTCATGCAGCCTCGCAGTGGGACCAGAGGTTGAATTCCTGATGGGAGCTGTCTCTTCTGTGCCCTCTTGTGGAGAACAAAGCAAAAACAGGCCCATGTGGGGACCAAAGGCTGAAGGCCGGATGGGAGTTGTCTGTCTGTGCCCTGTTGTGTTGATCCAAGGACAAGCAGCCAGCCCATGTGGTCACCTAAGGCTGAATGCCTAATGAGAGCGGTCCCTTCTGTGCCCTCTTGTGGTGCACGAAGAGCATGCAGTTCCACAGAGTGACCAAAGGCTGAATTCGCGATGGGAGCTGTCTCTTCTGCACACTCTATGGTGCCTGAAGAACATGCAGCACAGCCCATCTGTGTGTCCTATTCATCAGCTGCTTCTTCACTTCGTTGCCCTTTTGGCATCATTAGTAACTTTAACCCGAGAGCATTTGCTGGACGTGCTGTTCAGACAGAATCCAAGCCAGACTGGGAGCTTTGTTATAATGACTTTATTAACTTCCCCTGGGATTTGGACCTGGCATTACATTACAGCATCTACAGAAGCTGCTGAGCATAGCACACATAAACTAATTGCTAAAATTCTGCAGCACATCAAAATTTATATATTTTGCCCATCTGACAAAAAGATAGCTATAATTTTTATTAATTCGCCCCTAATGGCTATTGTTGTTTTGGCTGTTGTCATTTTTTTTTTTATTTGACAGCTGCAGGCAAAGAGGTCAATGCCCCTGGCTAAATAGTCAGGTTTTGTGTGTTGTGAATAGTCCTGTGGCACAGGTGTTGAAAATCACTGGTCTAGAAGGCAATCTTCCATTCCCAAGTGCACGCACATCATTTCTCTTTTCACAAAGAGGATCTTGGGGAGATGCTCTAACCTGGTGATGAGAATGAGACTGGGGGACAGGACACCCTGACAGAGTGCAGATGGGAAGGTGGGAAAACAATTCTGAAGAATGAAAATGTAGATGTTGCCACCAACCTAACCATCCAATATTTTGTGTTTTAATTTGATTGCAGCGTGTGGAGGAATGTGGCTGTAGGTGGCTGAGGAGCTGAAAGGTAATGGTTCTTAGGGAGGTCCTCTGGCCATCCTGGGATGGTCTTCGCTGAGAGGAAGCGGGCGGCCAGCGTTATTCTGGTCGGAGGAGTTACTGGGTTGCTGGGCCTGGGGGAGAGGGGCCTTAGTATTTGATTACCAACACACTTGAGCATGCGCACTTCTCACAGGTGTGCCTCGGAAGCTTGGATGAGATTGGAATCGTTTCCGAGGTGCCTGCGGCCAAGTGAGGGTTCCATCGGGCACAATGTGAATGTCGTAGCGCGGGTCTCTAGTGAACAGGACCAATATGAGGAGCTCATGTGGCTGACCGGCTCTTCTAAGTGTCCCCAAGTGAGGGGCTAACCTCGCCGTGACCTGCAGCGGCCATGTCCTACTGTCCACCGCTGCCCGCAACGCTCCTGGGGGCGAAGTGACCACTGATCTGCTACTCAGAACGCCACCCAGCCCAAGGGGTGGGGCGGCATTTAGAATCAATGCACGGCTGTGGTGCCGAATAGCTAAAGAGAAGGTGGATGATGAAAAGCAAGACTCGGCTCAGCGTGGGGCACTGTGACATTCCGTGCACACCCGATGGGCATGACAGATGTCATGGGCACCACCTCCACCCCATGTCACCTTGTTTGCTAAAGGGTTTGGGGGATCCCTGGACCCTGCAGTTCGCCTGCCTCAGCAGCCGGGGCCTGACCTTCAGACCGCATGCTCAGGGACTCATCAGAGGTGTGCCAGCTGACACCCCCCACTTTCCTGGAAGTGGGGCTGTAATGGGGCCCACAGGAGCCCTCGTGGGTGGGGCAGGCCGGCTCGGTGGCCCAGCTGGTCATGGGTTCCCACTGGATCTCCTTCCTGGGACAGTGGAAGTCCAGGCAGCATCTGGTCCAGCTGTAGAAGGCCAAGGACAAGAGAAATCTTGGGCTGGGTTCAGTATGCTCTGGGAGGGGGACCAAGAGACCCGCCAGTGATGCAGGGAAGCAGGCATCTGAGCCCTGGGTGCTCGCAGAGGGCCGCGCCACTCAGCATGCCCCTGGTGGCCTCGCCTGGAATGGCGGGCGGGTCTGATGTAACAGGCTCCTGAGGCAACCACGAGTCCAGTAAGCGTTCTCACTTCTGTGCGGTAGGGACACATGAGCTGAACCAAGGCCCCCGTGGCACTGCCAGGCACTGCCCAGGAGGGAGGCAGTGAACCCTGGTCTCACTTTCAAGTCCTTGTGAATCAGATTTCCACCGATTCTGAAGCGACATCAATATCAATTCTGTGTAGGGCACCATCTGTCTCTCCACTGACAGCTTGTGTTTGTATCTATATATAAAAGGCTAATATGCAAAGTGTCCCCTCAGGAGTTTGACCAGGAGACTGGGGGTTCGATTGCTTGCTACAACGTGTTCTGACCACCAGGGGGCAGCGCAGAACATGGCAGGTGACCAGCAGTGGCGGTGGGAGGCAGGGAGGCAGGTGGGAGGCAGGGAGGCAGGGGGAGACAGGGAGGGAGGTGGGAGGCAGGGAGGCAGGGGGAGGCAGGGAGGCAGGGGGAGGCAGGGAGGCAGGTGGGAGACAGGGAGGTAGGTGGGAGGCAGGGAGGCAGGGGGAGGCAGGGAGGCAGGTGGGAGACAGGGAGGTAGGTGGGAGGCAGGGAGGCAGGGAGGCAGGGGGAGGCAGGGAGGCAGGTGGGAGACAGGGAGGCAGGTGGGAGGCAGGGAGGCAGGTGGGAGGCAGGGAGGCAGGGGGAGGCAGGGAGGTAGGTGGGAGGCAGGGAGGCAGGGGGAGGCAGGGAGGCAGGTGGGAGGCAGGGAGGTAGGTGGGAGGCAGGGAGGTAGGTGGGAGGCAGGGAGGCAGGTGGGAGGCAGGGAGGCAGGGGGAGGCAGGGAGGTAGGTTAGGGGGGAGCCAGGAGGCAGGTGGGGAGCCAGGCGCAGGTGGGAGGCAGGGAGGCAGGTGGGAGGCAGGGAGCAGGGGGGAGGCAGGGAGGTAGGGGGAGGCAGTGAGGCATGGGGAGGACAGGGAGGCCGGTGGGAGGCCATGGAGGTAGGGGGAGGCAGGGAGGAAGTGGGGAGGCAGAGGCAGGTGGGAGGCAGGGCGGCAGGGGGAGGCCTAGGGAGGTAGGTGGAGGCAGGAGGCAGGGGGCAGGGAGGGGAGGGCAGGGAGAGGCAGGTGGAGGCAGGTCGGTAGGGGGAGGAGGGGGCAGGTGGGAGGCAGGAGGCAGGTGGGAGGCAGGGAGGTAGGTGTGGAGGCAGGGAGGCAGGGGGAGGCAGGGAGGCAGGGGGAGGCAGGGAGGCAGGTGGGAGGCAGGGAGGTAGGTGGGAGGCAGGGAGGTAGATGGGAGGCAGGGAGGCAGGGGGAGGCAGGGAGGCAGGTGGGAGGCAGGGAGGCAGGTGGGAGGCAGGGAGGCAGGGGGAACCATGGGTGGTGGTGCACGGGCATCGAGGGAAGGAGGAGGCAGGGACCTGATCAACCCTGATCACCAGCCAGGCCTAGGGACCCTGCCCATTATGAATTTCATGCACTGGGCCTCTAGTTTTTATTATAAATGCAATGTAATGGAAACACTGGGGCGATCCACCCGTGGTATTTACACCTGACCATTGCGTGTATTTCTAGCCAATATATTTTGATGGGTGTGTTATCATGTATCTGTATTTAGTAAAATTTTTAAATTTATAATCTTTTCTTTTTGATCCTTACCCGAGGATACTTTTCCCAGTGATTTCCAGTGAGAGTGGAAGGGAAGAGGCATCGACATGAGAGACACATGGAGTGGTTGCCTCCTGCACACACTCCCACCAGGGCCAGGGAACTGCAACCGAGGTACGTGCCCCTGACCAGGAATCGAACCTGAGACTCTTTGGTTCGTAGGTGGGCCCTCTGACCACTAAGTCAATCCAGCCAGGGCTAAATTTGTCATCTTTTTAAAAATATTTTTAAAGTCATATCAGAGAGAGGTGGAAACATCAATGAGAGAGAAACATGGATGGGCTGCCTCCTGCACGCCCCCTACCAGGAATCAAGCCTGCAACAGGGGCGGTGCCCTGGTGGGGAATGGAATGGCATTCTTTTGGTACACATGATGGTGCTCAATCAACTGAGCAACAGTGGCCAGGGCTGGTTTGTTTGTTTTCAAGAAGAAAATTTAAAATCACGAATGACCTACCATAATAAAACATGTGGTCTTGGCCGCGTTTTTTTTGTTTGTTTGTTTGTTTTTAGGTTTAGAAGGTTTTTTTAAAGAAAAACAAAAACAAAACAAAAAAAAAAACCACACACACAAAACAGAAAAAAATAAACATAAAACCCCAACAGTAAATAAACACTTTTACACCGGCGCATGCCACATTTATACCCCAGAATACCCTGCATCCACCAAATCAGTTTCAATTGCGCAGAGATACAGAACAAGTCTCTGAACAGAGGCAGTGGGAGACTGCCTAGGAACATTTCTCTTCTACCTTTTCCAAAGGCAGGCTAGCCTCATACCCTGAGCCAGTCCGAGTTTTGACTTCCCTCCGGGAAGGCCCAGAATGGTGTTTCCTGCCTCTTTTGAGTCCATGAGAGCACAGTCACCGCAGTCCCCCTGGGGCCCCCGAGTTCAGGCACCGGCCTGCCGGGGGCACACCTTCCTTGGGTCTCGGAGGCCGAAGCAAGTGCCCCGAAGCCCACTCTTGTCAGCAGTGGCCTAAGAGCCAGCTCAACTGATGTTTTTCCTGGCCGATGTACCAAAAGTGGCAGAAGGCATGGGTGAACGGTCAGCCGCACTCTGAAGGAGGAAAGTTTAACTTTTATTTTGCGGATCTGCTAGGCCAGGGGAATTCTGGATCCAAAGCCGGAACTGAACTCGTGGGAAGGCTCTGACCTATATATCTCCTCCTGTGGCGGGCCCCTGAGGGTCCCTGCAGCTCTGCCCGCGTCAGTCAGAGTGGGGAAGTAAGACTACAGTTTTAACCAGATACTAAACCAGGTTGCAAGCCCCCGCCCCTCCATTTTCCTTTTCACCAGGTTGGTGAAGATATGTAGGCAGGTGTGTCTTTGTTTGTTCCATTGTACCATTGTGCTGAGAACTCGGTTCCCATTCAAAGTGCCCCTCTTTCCCTCAAAGACTGCACACCTATCTGCTTCTCCCGGATTACTGTGCTGTCATCCCCAAGGGCAAGGCAGGAAGCATGGGTCCGGAACTCCGGGAGGCCCAGGATGGTGATTTAGGTTATTGTAGTCAGCAATCTTCTGCTCCACCTTCCTCACTACAGGCAATACCCAGGGCTGGTAGTCATCCATGCGATAAACTCCCACTCCCAGGTTGACCTTGTGGGGGGCGCATCTTTCCAGAAGTCTCACATTTCTGACATACTTCAAAGCACCTCCATTGATATCCGGTTGCATCTCAAGGTAGAATAGAGGGCCTTCATTGATGATTTTGGCAACCAACTGTGAGAAAAACAATGGCCTGTGGGTAAGACATCAGCTGCAGAGTATGTTAAGTATCCCAACAGTCCTCCAGGGGTGGCCGCAAGGACTGCCCAGCCCATCAGAATATGATGGAAGAGCCAGAGCTGCTGCTCCCCATCCCATGCAGAGACAGACAAACCCTCTATCAAATAACCCAGAAGTCGGTCTTCATTCGAAGAGTGACATAATGTTTGGACGGAGACCAAAGCAAATCTTATCTAGACATTTGATGTCTGAATTTTTTGATGTGATTGTTGGGAGATCAGTGGAAGTCAGCAAGGCCTGCTTGGGGTATTTTAAGAGAAATAACTTACGCCTCTCCTAGCAGTGTCCAACCTTCCTCGTATCAGATAAATGATCAACCCCATGAAGGCAGGCCCCACCCTGCAAAGCATGGCTTGGTGGCAGCTAAAGGTTTTCTCATTCCAATCTGTTGTCGAGCATGGATTACAGGTCTATTTTGGAAGCATCCGGTTTGGGGCAGGATGCCCTGCCGTAGGGGAAACCAAGGAGAGAAAAACTGCTCTCTACCCTTCTGGCCTGAGCTCTGAGTCATCACACCAAAGATGTACCCTTGCCCTTGGAACTTCTTAGATGCAGGCATCTGGTTCCAAGACTGATGCAAGTGGGTAGACTGAGAAGGCAGGACCAAGTGCTGTGTTTCCATGGTAACCCTGGCAGGAAGCACAGATGCATGTGGCTGGGATTGTGTTCTAAGGGATTCCCATCATATTTCAGTAGATCTGGCTCTTTCTAGAGGTCGAGGGACTGTGGACTTGCCTTCCTGTCCGGTGTGCATTTCCTCAAAGGGCTCCTAGCCCAGAGCCAAAGATTTCCTCTCCAAGACTCCTCCCTTTGGAGCACACAATGGAGTCAAGACAGTCTCTTCAATAAATGGTGCTGGGAAAATTGGACAGATCCATGCAAAAAAATGAAACTAGACCACCAACTTACACCATACACAAAAATAAACTCAAAATGGATAAAGGACTTAAACATAAGACGGGAAACCATAAAAACCTTAGAAGAATCTATAGGTAGCAAAATTGCAGACATATGTCATAGAAATATCTTTAGCTCCTAGAGCAATGGAAACTAAGGAGAAAATAAACAAAGGGAACTGCATCAAAATAAAAAGCTTCTGCACAGCAAAAGAAACCATCAACAAAACAACAAGAAAGCCCACTGCATGGGAGAACATACTTGCCAATGTTATCACCGATAAGGTTTAATCTCCAACATTTACAGGGAACTCATACTACTTAACAAAAGGAAGATAAACAATCCAATAAAAAATGGGCAAAGGACCTAAAAAATAGACACTTTTCAAAAGAGGACATACAGAAGGCCAAGAGACATATGAAAACATGTTCAAAGTCACTAATCATCCAAGAGATGTAAATCAAAACAACAATGCGGTACCACCTCACACCTGTCAGACTGGCTATCATCAACAAGTCAACAAACGACAAGTGCTGGTGAGGATGCGGAGAAAAAGGAACCCTCGTGCACTGCTGCTGGGAATGCAGACTGGTGCAGCCACTGTGGAGAACAGTATGGAGTTTCCTCAAAAAACTAAAAATGGACAGAGAAACCAAGATGGCGGCATAGGTAAACACCAGAAATTGCTGCCTCGCATAACCACTTCAAAAATACAACGAAAAAACAAAACGGACATCATCCAGAACCACAGGAAGGCTGGCTGAGTGGAAATTCTACAACTAGAAGGAAAGAGAAAAGCATACCGAGACTCAGAGGAGGTGCAGAAGTAAAGTGCAGAGGTACGGAGGCGCACGCTGAAAGGGCTGGCAACTGAGGACGTGGCGCATGTGGAAAGGGCTGGCAACTGAGGACATGGTTGTCTTTTTCAATCAGGAGGGAGTCTCAAGCTCCCGACTGCTCTGAACTCCAGTTCTGGGCAAGTCTCTGGGGATCCAGACTGCTACAGGGAGAAACTGGACTGTCTGGCATCGGTAGGAACTTGATGGCGGATTTCTCTCAGAGGTGTTTGCAGCGATTACCAGGACACTGAGACACGGGGCCTCTTAGGGCAGGGCTGAGGATCAGCCATAGCTGTTTGCTCCGCCCTGTTGATTCCCTGAGACCCCGCCCCACCCAAGCTGTGCCCAGAGGCTTTTGCATATGAAAGGCCTGGCCCTTTCCAATCTGGAATTACCTAACAAACTGAAGCTGGGTCAGAGAGACCCAGAACTTCCAAAAGAAGACCTAAGGCCCCACAGCAGCTTGCAATGCTTCACAACTGGGCCTCATCTGGACACCTCCAAACCCCAAACAAAGAAGAGGAATCTGCAAATCTTTCCATAGCTCCTGCTGGGTAGCCTCAGGCAGAGGCTGAATTAGCACCTCCTTAGAGGTCCAAGAGCCAGTGTACCCAGTGGTCAGAGTGGGACCATCCAGATTACAACTCCTCAGATCCATAAAGGACACACTCAGGGGCAGACTCAGTGAGCACCAAAGCCCCACTGAAGCAAGTCTTGCCCCAGAAGGGTGTCTCCAGCACAGAAGTTCTCACACTGTAGATACAGCTGATTCTCACAGCCAATTGGCCTGGAGGTCAATTCCTCCCAGTGATACCTACAACAATCAAGGCTTAACTACAACAAGACTGTGCACAAAGCCCACAAAGGGGTGCACCAAGAGGGTCCACCTCAGGTAATTGGGGAGGCTGAGCCACTGGGCCCTATAGGACACCTAGCACAGAAAGCCACTCTATCAACACAGAGAAGCATAAAAAATGCAGAGACAAAGAAACAGGTCACAGATGACAGAAATGGAGGAAAGCAAACTACTGGATATAGAGTTCAAAACCACACTTATAATGTTTTTCAAGAACTTTCTAGAAACTGCCGATAAATTTAGTGAGACCCTCAAAAAATCTAGTGAGACCCCTGAGGTTATGAAAAGGACCAACTAGAAATTAAGCATACACTCACTGAAATAAAGAATATTATACAGAGTTCTAACAGCAGACTAGAGGATCGCAAGAATCAAGTCAAAGATTTGAAATATGAAGAAGCAAAAAACACCCAACCGGAAAAACAAAAAGAAAAAAGAATCCAAAAATATGAAGATAGTGTAAGGAGCCTCAGGGACAACTTCAAGCGTACCAACATCCGAATTATGGGGGTGCCAGAAGAAGAGAGAGAGCAAGATATTGAAAACCTATTTGAAGAAATAATGACAGAAAACTTCCCCTACCTGTTGAAAGAAATAGACTTACAAGTCCAGGAAGCACAGAGAACCCCAAACAAAAGGAATCCAAAGAGGACCACACCAAGACACATCATAATTAAAATGCCAAGAGCAAAAGACAGAGAATCTTAAAGCAGCAAGAGAAAGACAGTCAGTTACCTACAAAGGAATACCCATATGACTGTCAGCTAATTTCTCAACAGAAACTATGCAGGCCAGAAGGGAGTGGCAAGAAATATTCAAAGTGATGAATACCAAGAACCTACAACCAAGATTACTTTACCCAGCAAAGCTATCATTCAGAATTGAAGGTCAGATAAAGAGCTTCACAGATAAGAAAAAGCTAAAGGAGTTCATCACCACCAAACCAGTATTATATGAAATGCTGAAAGGTATCCTTTAAGAAGAGGAAGAAGAAGAAAAAGGTAAAGATACAAATTATGAACAAATACACATCTATCAACAAGTGAATCTAAAAATCAAGTGAATAAATAATCTGATGAACAGAATAAACTGGTGAATATAATAGAATCAGGGGCATAGAAAGGGAGTGGACTGACTATTCTTGGGGGGGTGGTAAAGGGGTGTGGGGGGTGTGAGAAGAGACTGAACAAAAATCATACACCTATGGATGAGGATGGGGGGGTGGGTAAGGGCAGAGGGTGGGGTGGGAACTGGTTGGAGGGGAGCTATGGGGGGAAAAAAGAGGAACAACTATAATAATCTAAACAATAAAGATTTAATTTAAAAAAAAAAAACTAAAAATGGAACTCCCAATTGACCCAGTGATCCCACTTCTAGGACTATATCCCAAGCAACCAGAAACACCAATCAGAAAGGATACATGCACCCCTATGTTCATAGCAGCACAATTTACCATAGCTAAGATTTAGAAACAGCCTAAGTGCCTATCAGCAGATGAATGGATTAGAAAACTGTGGTACATCTACACAATGGAATACTATGCTGCGGTAAAAAAGATGGAACTCTTACCATTTGCAGCAGCATGGATGGACATGCAGAGCATTATACTAAGTGAAATAAGCCAGTGGGAGAAAGAGAAATATCACATGATATCACTCATTTGTGGAATATAATGAACAACATAAAATAATGAATAAAAATAGAGCCAGGGGTGGTGGTGGGGAAATTCTAGAAGATAATAGAAGCAATCCTGTTATTTGCAGATTTTTAATATTTCCTACAACTTTTGTGACATCATACTATGTTAGTACAGTTTTGGTAATATTATTATACTTAAAATCCTTTCATTCTTGAAATATTAATGTTCACTGCATGTAATATTATTATATATAAGATAATTTTTCTTGAATAATGGGTGTTTATTGCATGTAACATTATTGTATTTGAAATCGTTTTTCTTGAGAGAGAAAAAAAGACTCCTCCCTTTGGAACTTTCAGGTCCCACGTGGACAAGCCAATTGGCACAGTGACAATGACAAAGAGCAGAAGGAAGGCTACCAGGTAACGACAACCAGCATGATGCTGAAGAATCGGGTCTTGATCGTGGCTCCCGCCTGCCCTCCGTCTCCGTGTAGACGCCTCGTTTCCCTTTCAGTGACGAGGCCCCTGTGAAGAAGATAGGGCGTGCACGCGATGTTCAGGACTGGCGTCTATTGAGGGACCGGGAAGGGGCTGAGGCAGGTGTGAGCCCTTGAGCAGAGCCGGGGGAGTGTGGAGCCAGGCCAGACACTGCCATGCTGTTCTCACCACCTCCCGGGTGCCGACTCACAGACTCATGGGAATATGAATACTTAAAACCTTACTTTGAAATAATTTCACATTTACGCAAGATTTGCAAATATAGTGTAGAAAGTTTCCGTAGACCTATATATACCCAGCTTCCCCCAAAGTTAAGATCCTGCATGACCCTGGTGACCTTTGTCACACGAAGAAATGAGCAGTGGTACAGGCCTGCTAATTAAACTCCAGGTTTTATATGGATTTTACTAGTTCAGGAACTGTTTTTATTTATTAAAATATACTTTTCTTGATTTCAGAGAGGAAAGGAGAGGGAGAGAGAAACATCAATGATGAGAAAGACTCATTGATCAGCTGCCTTCTGCACATCCCACACTGGGGATCAAGTCTGCAACTCAGGAATGTGCCCTGACCAGGAATTGAACCGTGACCTCCTGGTTCATAGGTCAACACTCAACCACTGAGCCATACCAGCCAGGCTGATCTTATACAGACTTTATGAAGCTGTTTTTTAAAAAAGCAAGCAGGTTTCCACCTGAGGGGGACCTGATGGAAGTAGACCATGAACTGGGAGAGGAACAAATGCTTCGTGGAGCTGCAGCCAGGGCACCGGGACTTGCCCTGCACAGCCCTCCTGCTTCTGTCACTTAGGTCCTGTCTCCTCATTACTGGCACGCACCCCGCACCCTGGGTATAATCACTGCTCACAGCTACCGAGAGCCTTCCACATGTCCAGCACCATTCTCGACCATTACCCACATTATCTTCACGTTTACTCCTCCATAACCTTCTGAGATAGATGTGGTTTTACAGGGATGGAGGGAGACAGAGTGAGAGCTGAGGCTGGGGGAGAAACATCGACAAGTTGCCTCCTGAACTACCCTGACCAGGCTGGGGATGAACCTACAACCCAAACCTGCAACCCAGGTACATTCCCTTGACCCGGAATCAAACCTGTGACCCTTCAGTGTGCAGGTTGACGCTCTAACCACTGAGCCACTGGTGGCCAGGGCATAAACAATTTTGATTGACTCTAAAGGCCCCAGGGAAAAGGTCTTCAAGGTATGTATGCCACCTTATGCTCAGCACGGACCCTGAGAATGCTGGGCTGCAGGGGCTGCCTGGAGGCAGGTGGTACAGTGGTCAGCGCCTGGGGGCCCGTGGGTTTGGATTCACTGTTGGCAGATTGCTCATTCTCTCTGGACTTGAGTGTTCTCCGCTGCAGGGACTGGACCAACTCCTGTGTGGCCTGCTGTGAGACAGCTGCCCGCCTCTCAGAGCCACGTAAGTCCTGTCATTGACATTTGGAGTCTACAGGTCAGCACAGCCACCTGTGCTTCAGTCACACCTAGACTTGTGCATCCTGTCCATTGTGTCATCACTAGACCTTGTCAAACACCCCGTGAAAATCTTGTGACTAAAAGGCATCACCTCAATTTACCAACCTTGTGCCTGTCTGGAAGGGTTTAGTATAACATAGAAGCAGCATGGACTTCTACAGGTGACGGCTTTGTTTTCTAAACACCACGCAGCCAGGGGCACACTGGATCGGTGGGGCTTCCCGCTCCTGGGACATTCAGCTTTATTGCTCAGAAGACAGGATGGTGGGTATGCAGTCTTCTGAAGGGCAGAGAGAACCCTATGTGCTAGAAACCAAGATCAACAGCAATTAAATTCGAGGAGTCTGGCAGGAGGCTGACCAGGACTCCTTTGATATTCACAGGGTGAATATTTACATTTTATTACCTACTGCTGACTCAGTGGCCTAAAGCAAACTCCCCCCAAACTTGACAATCTTACTGTTTACTAAACATTACCATTGATATGTCTGTGAGCATTCCTAAAAGGCAGTTGTGTATTCTAGTAAATAAAAGCAGGCGGGAACGGAGACTCCATGGAACTTGACTACTACAGTCGAGTTTTTCCCTGGCTTCCCCCATAATTTCAAAATTAATATTTCTTGTCTTGTGTGTCAATTTGCGCATCAGCTCTTTCTCCAAGCCTTTGAACCCGAAAGCCACGCTGGCCGTGGCTTTTCACGCCTATGAGCACCAACCACTTCTAGGCATGCAAGTCTCATGTGTGGGAGCCACTTCCTCAAGGTCGATAGCTGCCTTATAAATATTCAAATGATGCTAAGCTGGGAGGGATGCCTAATGTGAAGATTAAAAACAAACAACTTGATCTGGCCAGTGCTTCTCAGCGGCTAGAGGATCTTGGGTTCGATTCCCAGTCAAGGACACGTGCCTCAGTTTCAGGTTTGATCCTGGTGGAGGCTGATGCAGGAGGCAACCAATCGATGAGTCTCTTTCACGTGGATGTTTCTTTCTCTCTCTCCCTTTCCACTCTCTAAAAAATCGATAAAAAAAAAATCTTCGGACAAGTGAGGATTAAAAAACAAAACAACTCAAAATGGTGTTAAGTAAGGATGCATGTCCATTTGCACCTAAGTTCAAGAAATGAACAGCACAACCCTTCCAAGTGACAGATGGGTAATCCCATCATGATTACACAATGAACATAAAGTGTTAAAAATCACTTTGGTTGGAATTGATGGAGACGATGAAATCATTGTCCCTGCTTTAATGAATCTAGTGGCCTGAATTTCAGCCCTGAAATTTAAGCCAATACCACCTTGCGGGAGGTGGGGCGGGTGGCTATTTTGGGACAGGGGGACTGGCAAAAGTTCTAGGTGCATGGATGTGGTCCTTTATTTTTCGGCTTATCAGATCCTCTTGTTATTTGGAGTTAATTACAGATTCACATGTAGTTGTAAGAAAGAACACAGGGACATCCTTTGCACCCTGGATCCTGCTTCTCCAGGTGGTAACATCTTGCAAAATTATAGCACAATATATAAACACTAGAGGTCTGGTGCATAAAATTCATGCACGGGAGGGGGGGTGTCCCTCAGCCCAGCCTGCACCCTCTCCAATCTGGGACCCCTCGGGGGATGTCTGACTGCTGGTTTAGGCCCGATCCCTAAACGGTAGTCGGACATCCCTCTCACAATCTGGGTCCTAACCGCTCACCTGCCTGCCTGATTGCCCCTAACCCTTCTGCCTGCCAGCCTGATCACCCCCAACTACCCTCCCCTGCCTGGACCTGCCTCCTCAGTGGAGACAGACCTGGGGGGTCCCCAGGCCTCACAGCTCAGCCTCGGCTGTGTGCATAGCCATCTTTGATGCCACCTAGGCTATTATTAGTATAGATTGATACAATGACACAACCCACCAAGTTATTCAGATTCCCCCAGTTTACACGCATTCCTGTGTATTCAGTTCTGTGCAATTTAATGTCTGTGAGAATTCACGTGGCCACCAGTCACCGTACACTTGAGACTGATTCTTACAGGCATACTCCCTAAGTGTCAGTTCAAAATGGAAAAGGGGGGGGGGGCATTCATGGGGCAGTAAGCACTGCCCAGCCACTGAACAGGTGCCAGGGGAGTCTGCACTCTTATTTCAGTTGCCTGGATGTCACAGAGATCCGCCCTGGGATTCTGACCACAGAATGCAGAACCCTCGCTTGGCTGCTGAAGAGACGAGTTGAAATTCCTCATCCTGGCTCTAGTGGCGGAGCCCAGACAAGGCCCGGGGCCCTCGGAGTCTGTCCAGTGCTGTCCTGTCTGGTCCTTGCTGCCCACTCCCAGCCTCATCACCTGCTACAAGTCCCCGGGGGGATGGAGCTGCTGTGAGGAAACAGGTGTTCATCAGCATCCAGCTTCATAACTACAAACAGCAATAAAAAATTGTTTTTTGCAAAGCATGCAAATACATTAATGCTCTTTCTTTATTTCGGACCTTTATGGAAATTGAAAAGGGGCAGGAAGAGGTGGCACACCCGTTCAATTCAGAAACATTCAATGACGCCAGCCCAGCGAGCTCTTCCCCTTTGTGGAGGATGCAGCCCCGGGACCCTAAGTCCTGGGGACAGGCTTCCATGAAAGTGAGAGCAGGGTTTGAAGGGAAACTTCTGAGGTGCAACTACAGGAAGAGCCAACAAGAAGCCGTTCCTCTTCTGGGCCGGGCGCCGCAGGAGGGGGTTTGTGGAGGATGGGCAGTCCCTCGTGGGGACAGGGCCAGCGGGGGGCCCTTGGCTGAGGGGGCGCCCTCCCATCTCTCCGGCTGGAACAGTGTGCGCGCGCGCGGCCCGCTTCCGGGACCCGCGGTCCCGATGCCCGGAACTCGGGGCCAGGTGCGTCCGCGCGGGACCGGCCGGTGGCGCGCGGCTCCCGTCCGCTTCCGGCCTCACCTGCGTGGCCCCAAGTCCGCGCCCACAAAGGCGGCGGCGCAGGGCCGGCCGCGCGCTCCAAGATGGAGGCGCCAAGGCCTGCGGCCGCTGTCTGGCCCGCCCCGTGCGGGCGCTTCCGCCGCCTCACTGGCCGCGCCTCGATCTTCCCGGAGGCGGGCTGACGGGCCCCAAGCCGGCCTCCGGCGCCCGCGCGGGAAGACGAGCAGGGCCCCGGGCCACCCCCGGCCCCGAGCGCGCGCCCCTCTCGCCCCGCGCCGCTGGGGAGACCCGAGCACGCGCCTTGGCGCCTCCGCCCGCCCCGGCCCGGCCCCCGCTCCGCGCCCCGCCCTCCCGCCGCCCCGCCCTCCCGCCGCCAGCCCCGTCGGCTCCTTCCCGGGTCGGCCCGCAGTTTCAAGTTGCAGCGCAAGTTCGCTGGTGGCCGGAAGCCTCCCCTCCTAGGCCAGCCGGACCCCCGGAGCGCATGGAGGTGGGCCCGCGGCCTCTCGGGCCTCGCAGCCTGCGCGCCCCGCGCCATGGAGGGCGCCGAGCCCCGCGCGTAGCCCGAGCCTTGGGCCTGTACCGCCGGAGGCGGGCGCCCCGTGGAGGTGCAGCTGAACGGTGGCGCCCTTCGGGGCTTCACCCTGAAGGCCGCCCGCCAGCACGGCCCGCCGCGGGGCATCAGCAAGGTAAGGCGACCGCGGGGCCCGCGCGAGGACTGCCCGCGGGTGGGCGGGGGCTCGGAGGGGTGGAGGCACCGGCGGGAGCGCGGCGGTCGCCCCCTGCTCCGGGGCGCGTCGGCCCGGTCACCTGTGGGAGGCGGACTTCCGGACACGCATAGGTGCGGCGCGGCGTCCCCGCTGCTCTGCGGCGGCCGGAGCCCAGCTGCCTCCTGGCGCCGCGCAGTGTTTCAATGGCTTCTGTTCCGGGTCCCCCTCCGCGAAGGGGCCCGGCAGGGACCCCGTCACTCCCGGCCTCGCCAGCAGCGGCCTGCACCTGTGGGGCCGCCCAGAGGCCCGGAGGGAACGCTCCCTGCCGGTGCGTGCCTCTGTTCGGCCCGGGGTTCCACGCCCCTGGGACCTGCACCCTTACCGCTAGGAAACGCAGCCCAGCCGCCGCCGCCGCCATCCAGCCCGCAGATTCGCATCTGTCCGTCAGTGTTCGCTCACTTTCGGTTTCCATTCCATGGCGCTCCGGAGACCTGCCCAAACGCACAGAAACTTTTCAGCCGCCTTTATAAAAGCGGAGTTTCAGCTCCAGTGATAAGACATTTCCAATGTGCCTCATCAGGAATGGGATTCTCCTATGGGGTTTGGGGGAGACGGGCTGCTTTAGAACGAGATTATCTTGTCTCAGAAACAAAATTCATCTTGGAACGGACCAGGGGAACCTGTAAAGACACGCAAACAGCAAACACATCGCCCTGTTTTCTTCTGGTTCAGAGTGTGGGTTGGTCCGTTTACTTGGGAAGGGTTGGGCCAGCTCATTCCTAGGGACAAAGTTCCACTGAAAATGTGAAAATGTTTGGCTCCTGGAAGCGTTTGAAGGTGACCTACCTGTTTCCTGGGCTTCCCTGCGCGTCCACCGCAGGGAGAAACCTGGTGACTGCCAGCCCACCCTCCCGGCATGAACGTGGGCAGTGGGGTGGCTCCGTTGTTCAGAGAGCAAATGAGCCGCCCAACTGTTCTGTTCCGTACTTTCTCTCACGTTTCTATTTGCAGAACTGGGGGCTTTGAGGCAGGCTTGTTCAGAGTGCACTGAATTTATGTGGACTGCATTCCTGGAAAAGATGGTGGGCAGTCACTGCACGCCTGGCCCAGCAAGGACATTTTCCCCACAAAGTTTGTATTAAAGCGTATTTTGCCTGTATCTTTTAAAAATATATATATACTTGGGTATCAACTTTTTTATTAATTAAAACAAATTCTTTTTGGAGAGAGAGAAGGGCAAGAGAGAAGCATTGATCAGTTGTCTCTCATGCGCCCAGACCAGGGATCGAACATGCAACCTAGGTGTGTGCCCTGACCAGGAATGGAACCCGCAGCTTTTTGGTATATGGGAGGACGCTCCAGCCCACTGAGCACCCAGTCAGGGCTTGCCTGTATCTTTTAAATAAAGGTTTTACAGGGCATTTCTGATGGTAAAATTAAAGGGATTGGATAAGCTACTCAGACCTTTAACATTTCATGTATTCTTTTTAAGAAAAGATACATGATTCAACATTCATGGTGGGACAAATGTAGGTTTACAGTTGTGAGTACTCAAAACAGTTTATTCTTGTATTATTACTTAATCGTATTATTTTCCATACAAACAACTGTAAAACTATGTTTGCCCCACCCTGTCTCTTCCTTGGACTTGCCTTTATAGCCGATGGGACACGTTGTAAAACTTTACTTAAGAAGAAGTCTTGCTTTTTGGCCTTCACAGTGTGAGAAAGCTGGAAGTCACTTTAAAATTTAGTTGTTTTACAGCTGGATAAAGCGACTCCAAAGCATTCATCCTTTCTAAGGTACCCCAAGTTTTTTTTTCCTTAATATATTTTTTTGTTTTTTAATTACAGTTGATATGCAATATTATAATAGTTCGAGGTGTGCAACCCAGTGATTAGACATTTATATTAGTTACGAAGTGATCACCCTGATAAATCTAGTACCCATCTGACAACAGGTACCCCAAGTTCTAAAAATCCCTGTTCTAGCTGTCGAAGAGGACACCCCCCACCCCCGGTTCTAAAATGATACACTGGTGACCCAGTGTATTATCAGTGGCCGCCTCTCCTCCCTCAGAGGCCGCCATTCTGGAAGCTGAAGGAGGCGGGCAGTGACACCCAGGGAAAGACGGCCGTCTCCGGGCGTCTGCCTGTTGGTTGGCTCCCACGGGAGTTACTAAGGCTTTTGTTTGTTTTGCTCTGTTTTGGAAAGTTTTTATGGCTAGGCTGGTAGCAGGGTACACACACAGCCTTCCTGGATTGTGCGTCAGGCTTTTGCAGACTAAAATGCTTGTGATTCTTATCTGAGGCGCTCATGCGTCCCTCCCTTAAACTGCTGCTTCGTCTTTGTAGCTGCCTTGGGGTGACTGGAGAGTTGTGGTTTCTTTGCTTACGAGGGAGAGGATTCAGAGCAGCTTGGACTTGTGTTCTAAGTTTTCATGCACACTTGTATGTAAGTGCACATAGGCCTTCTCACACATGCACACGTGGAACAGTATTGACAATATTTACATAACTGTCTTTTCTCCTGGATTAGTTGTTAGGGACACTCGCTTACAATTTAGCAGCTGGTAATTAACTATCACGTTATTAGAAAAGGATGAGGATACAGACAGTAGGGGGGTGAGCGCCTGTGCTGTGGGGTGGGAGTGGGCTGAGAGAGGTCAGTGGGGGAAAAGGAGACATATGTAATACTTTCAACAAAAAGAATTTAAAAGAAAAGGATGAAGGAATGCGTGTCTAGCTTTACTTAAAAAATGGAAATAGACTTTTTTGATGGGCCCTGGGGACAATTGTTTCACACCAGAATTTAGTTTAATCTGAGCTTTGACTTCTTTTCCTCTTGGTACTGAAAAATCTTCAGGGCTCATTAGATAGTAATTCTTCTCATCAATTTTTTGCATTTAAAAAACTTTGTGATAAGCCCTGGCCAGGTGGCCCAGTTGATTAGTCATCCCATACACCTGGAAGGTTGTGGGTTCAATTCCTGGTCAATGCACATACCTAGATTGTGGGATTGATCCCTGGTCGGGTGTATATGGGAGGCAACTAATCAATGTTTCTCTTTTTTCCTTCCTTTCTTTCTAAAATCAGTATAACCCGGCCAGTGTGGTTCAGTGGTTGGGCATCAACCTATGAACCAAGAATTCACTGGTTCTATTCCCGGTCAGGGCACATGCCTGGCTTGCATGCTCAATCCTCAGTAGGGGGCGTGCAGGAGGCAGCTGATCAATGATTCTCATCATGTTTCTATCTCTCCCTTCTTCTCTGAAATCAATAAAAATAAACATATCCTTGGGTGTGTATTAAAAAAAACAACCACTTTGTAATTAAATAGTTTATATGTTAGAGCCCTGGATCTTAGCACATTTCCTATTTGACAGAATCTGGCTGGGAGAAGCTGGACCCTGTGTGAGGACTCTTGCTGTGATAATGAAGGCACCTTAGAAAGCCTCACAGGGGTGTGCATCTTAGAACTGGGAGGGGTGCCCCATCTAGGCTGCTTCAGTCCCTGACCTGGTGGAGACCTTGTGTAGCCCACTGTATAGATGTGCGCTGGGGTCAGCAACCCAGCAGGTCTTGAGAAGGACCTTGAGGACCAGATCTAGACTCCAAATGTTCCTGTTTTCCCTCCAGTCAGTGCCATCTGCAGTTGTGGGAAATCCGTTGGCAGAGCCATATTGAATGACTCTCACATCCATTTGACGACAGTTTTTAAATCTTGACGCTATTGATGTTCTGGGCTGGTTCATTTTCTTTGGGAGGCTTTCCTGTGCATTGTAGGATGTGTAGCAGCATCCCTGTTCTCTCCCACTGGCACCCCCTCTGCAGGTGTGATAACCAGAAAACCCCCTGCAGGCTGCCCAATGTTCCCTGGCTGCAACATCGCCCTTGCTGTGTAACCATGTGTCACGAAAGGATGTCAGTGTTTAAAGCTCATGCTTCCTTCTTTTGAAGACACTGGCCTGTGGGGTCTTTTGCTTGGAGGCCCCTCAAGTGGCCAGTCATTGCATGGAGGGCTGTCCCCCCCTCTTCCCCCACCCCGGGACTCTCCAAGTGCATGAACTTAGGTCCATCTGCAGGCCGCTATGCAAGCAGACTACCAGTAATTTTCCGTTCAAGTTTCAATGCCTTGCCTTGAAAATGGAACACCGCTGACTTTATTTCTAACACTTTCCCATGTGTAACTCTGAGATGACCCACCTGAGAAGGATGTCTCCTGAAAACTCCTTGTTTCACACACACGTCCTTCACTGGCTCTTTCCCTTGCCATCCGCTACAGTGCTGGTTTCCCGAAAGTCCTTCCCTTCTCTGCCGTCTCTCATCTGTGTGGTCCCTTGCACTCCCTGGAGAGAGTGGGTGTGTGTAGACAACTGTTGAATCTCCATGTGCAGTTCCGACCTGGGTTCGCCCGCAAACTCCGAGTGATCCAGACGGTGATCATTCATTCGTCTTCCCTCACCTCCTTTAATTCTCCTGCATTGCCAGCCCTGTCCATAGCTTTATCCACAAATCTGGGACTCATCCCTAAGTATCTCTCTCCTGACCTTCCTCGGCCAGCTGACCCCCACCTCCTTTGGAGCCTGAGTGTCTTGTGTTGCGTTTTCTTTCTCATCCCGGTGATGGCGCTGCCTGCATTATTGCTCGCCTGGACAGTCGCGGTGGTCACTAACTTGGGCACTGCCTCCGGCTCTCCGTGGGTCTGATTCCTGTAGACGTCCAGCAAAGCAGGGACCAGAGCGCTCTTCGAGTCCTCACGCTCTGGCTGGAACTCAGTAACGGTAGCCATGACCTCAGTGACTGCTCATGTGACACTTTAGCTGGGTATACACAGCGACTTTCAACCAGTGTGCTGCTAGAGTGTTTAAAACACGACCTCTTTCCCCTTAGATTGTCAAATAAAAATACAGCAACAGCCAACCCAACAATTCGGTGTGAATGAATCAAATTTATACCTATTTTTTTGGTCAAATCGGCAAAGAATATATATTTTTTTGGTGTGCTGCAGAATTTTAGTAATTACTTTATGTGTGTCATGATATGAAAATGGCTGCTATAGATGCTTCTTTCTGTTTTCGCTCCTGACTGTTTCACAGCCTCATCTTCCATATCCTCTCTCCCATCTTGATCTTTTAGGCCTGTACTGCCCCTTGGGAGCCACTCGCATGTCACTCTTGAGCACTTGAAATGTGGCGAGTCCAAAATGAGATGTAGTGCAAGTGGAAGTACACCCTGGGCTTTCGACTTAGTCTGAAAAAAAGGGGGATATAAAGCATTTCACTGATAACCCCTTTACGTCTGTTACATGTGGACATATTTTGGCTCCTTTGAATTAAACAAGTAGTCTCTTATTAAAATTAGCTTCACATATTTCTTTTGCTTTTTAAAATGTGGTTCCTAGCCCAGCTGGTGTGGCTCAGTGGTTGAGTGTCAACCCATGCACCAAGAGGTTAAAGGTTTGATTCCCCATCAGGGCACATGCCTGGGTTGTGGGCTCGATCCCCAGTAGGGGACATGTAGGAGGCAGCCAATCCATGATTCTCCCTCATTGATGTTTCTATCTCTCTGTCTCTCTCCTTCTCTCTAAAAATCAATAAAAAGATTTTTAAAAACCACTTTAAAATGTGGCTCCTACAAAATTGGAAGTGACATCTGTGTCTCTTGGTGTATTTCTTACTGGCCAGACCAAGCATGTCAAACTCTCGGCCCACGGGCTGCATGTGGCCCACAACGAATATTTTTGTGGCCCAGCCAATATAACGGTATGTAAGAAACGTTTTAATAAAAATTTCGCCCTAACCAGTTTGGCTCAGTGGATAGAGCGTCGGCCTGTGGACTGAAGGGTCCCAGGTTCGATTCTGGCCAAGGGCATGTACCTTGGTTGCGGGCACATCCCCAGTGGGGGGTGTGCAGGAGGCAGCTGATCGATGTTTCTCTCTCATCGATGTTTCTAACTCTCTATCCCTCTCCCTTCCTCTCTGTAAAAAATCAATAAAATATTTTAAAAAAAATTTCATAACTTAATTTTTACAATATCCTGCTATGCAGAATTAGTAATAATGAACTGATCACTATAATCGTGTTGCATTCATTTCCCTTACGTGCCTTATGCGCAGGCGCACCATTTCTCTCCACTAATACTAGCAAGCGAATATTTTAGCAGCCAATTGCCACATCATTAGTCTTGTACTGACTTGTTTGGCGGGTGCAACAGGAAATATTTTGCTTTCAGAGAACAAGAAAAATAGGTTCATTTGCGTTACGCTTATTGATTTGTGCAATTATTCAGTGTCTGTTAAGTTAATGTTCAAGAAAAATTATTAAAATGTTCTATTATTTTATGTTAATGATTACTCATTTATTTCAACCCTTTGTATTCAGCATGTCTCTATCGAAATAAACCTACGTTTCTATGAAAATTGAAGCTTTGGGGTTTTTTTGCAGCCCACATAAACTTCAACCTTGTTTATTTGTCCCATGTTAGCCTCTGAGTTTCACATGCTTGGGCTAGACCAGCCATGGGCAAACTACGGCCCACGGGCCGGATCCGGCCCGTTTGAAATGAATAAAACTAAAAAAAAAAAAAAAAAAAAAAAGACCGTACCCTTTTATGTAATGATGTTTACTTTGAATTTATATTAGTTCACACAAACACTCCATCCATGCTTTTGTTCCGGCCCTCCGGTCAGGTTAAGAACCCATTGTGGCCCTCGAGTCAAAAAGTTTGCCCACCCCTGGGTTAGAACCTGGAATGAGAGCGACTCTGGATCACATTTCAAGGAAGCCCTGCTGGAACCCTGGAACCCCTACTTGGGAGTGGGCTGTCCCAAGCTTCCTTCCTGGCTCTCCTGGCTGCACGTTCCCATCTCTGCTGCTGCCAGAGTCTCTTTCACCCAGAGCTCAGGGTCACAGGGAGGCTGGGGAGGGGGTGGGGAAAGCAGAGCCTGCCTGACTTTTTAAGCCTATCTTGGTGACAGGCACACCTGGCAACAGGCACCCCTGGGCATGGGCTTGGGCTGTTGGTCTGAACAAGCCCAGATCAGGAGAATTAACACACATGCCATCAAATCCATCCTTTGAAAGTATACAGTTCAGTATCTAAATGGTGAATATTTTCATCACTGCACAAGAAATGTGCCCATTAGCAATCATTCCTCATTCTCCAACCCCCAGAAACCACCAGTGTGCGCTCTGTCTGATGGGTTTGCGTGTTCCAGACATCCTATATAATAATAGAGGAATATGCTAGTTATCCGGGACGCCCTCACGTGTAAGGACAGGCAGGAGCAGGTGGGCGTGGCTGCATGCCACATGAGGCCGCCTCAGATAAAATAAAATGTGTTCACATGCCCTAAAGCACAAACATCCCAGCAGATAACTCAGTGCAGGTTATTGTGTAACCACAATGATTACACAATAAATCACAATGATTACACAATATTGATTACACAATAAACTTATTTTCACCAAAAAAAAAAAAATAACAGCTTCACTTAAAGATGCCCCAGTAAGGCTGCTGAGGCTTTCGTCTGTCCCTTTCTACACCGAAGACGACAGGGTTCAAGGAGGAAGGGCTCCAGTTTCGTTTTCTCAGCACCCAGCCAGGAGGCCTCCCTGGGGCGGCTCTCCCCTCCGAGCCCTGCGCAGGCCGGGAGCCCCGAAGGGAGGAGGAGTTAAGTGCTTTCCTTCCGGACCCCGCTCTCCCTGGGAGTCCGGCGCGGAGAGCGTTCTCCCTGGGAACCCAGACATCGCCTCCCAGGGCGACTGCGTAGTAGCGGGGCCTGGCGAGCCGCGGAGAGGGCGACCTACCCATGGGATGTGTACGCTGGCGGAGGCCACGCAGCTGCCATAGTTGAAGTTGTCCTCGATGAAGGACGGGGGTAGTGGGGATCGGAGTTGGCCAGGTCGGCAATGGAACCCCAGCTCCCCACCTAATGACTAGAGCACACGGACCTCAACGGTCCTCGGTCACTTCCTGAGCAGCAGTCAGCCCCGACCCGGATCAAACCTGAAACCTAAGTAGGTGCCCTGACAGAATGAACCCAAACCTTTGCTGTGGCAGGGGAACTCCGGCCCACAGCAGGGGCCAGGGCACCCAGAGGTTTTGTTGAGGGGCCCTGACAGCGCGCAGCCCAGTGGGTTAGAACCTCCTCCTGATGCAGCAAGGTTACGGGTTGGGTCCCTGGTCAGGGCACAGACAAGAAGCAACCAAACAGAGCGTAATAAGTGGAATAACACACTGGTGTTTCTCTCACTCCCTTCCTCTCTCTAAAATAATCAATAAAAATTAAAAGATAAACCTCTGGCTCGCAGAGTTGCTAAAACAGTTAGAGAGTGAAGTCCCATCCCTTCCCAACAAATACTGCGCATGCTCCTTCAATAACCACACTGGGGATGGGTGTTTGTTTGTTTGTTTGTTTTGGTTAATCCTCACCTGAGGACATTTTTGCATTGACTTTTTTTTTTCCCTCCGGAGAGTGGAAGGGAGGGAGAAAGACAGAAACTAAGAGAAAGAAAAACATCGGTCAGTTGCCCAAGCAATGCGACAGGGATGGAACCCACAACCTGTGTATGTGCCCTCACCTGGAATCGAACCCATGACCCTTGGGTGCATGGGAGGACACTCTAACTACTGATCCACACCGACCAGGGCCTGGAGGTACATTTAAAAAAATTTTTTCAGATCTGCCCTGGTCAGGTGGCTCAATTGATTGGAGTCGCAACCTGTACACCAAAGGATTTCCTGTTGGATTCTAGGTTAGGGCACATCTTAGGTTTAGGTTAGATCGCGCTGGGTCAGCAGGTGCAGAGGCAGCCTACTGGTACTTCTCTGTCACATGGATGTTTCTCTCTCTAAAAGTAAATTTTAAAAAAAATCCTTAGGTGAGAATTAAAAATATATGTATTAAAAATTTTTCAGATCTAAAATTTTACTTGGTTCTTTTTTAAATTTTATTTTTCATTAACAGTTCACATTCAATATCCTATCCTATATAATGAAACCCTAATATTCAAATCAACCGAATGGTGGAATGACTGCTCGCTATGAACTGACCACCAAGGGGCAGATGCTCAACGTAGGAGCTGCCCTTTGGTGGTGAGTGCACTCCCACGGGGGGAGCGCTGCTCAGCCAGAAGCCAGGCTCACACTGGCGAGTGCAGCAGCAGTGGCCGGAGCCTCCGCGGCAACACTGAGGAGCAGTGAGCCGAGCGGTAGGGAGCAGCAAGCGGGTGGGCAGTAAGGAGCGAGGGGTCCTGGACTGCGAGAGGGCACAGGCCGAGCTGCGGGGACCCCCCCCCCCCCCGCTCCCTCCAGTGCATGAATTTTGTGCACTGGGCCTCTAGTTTTATATAAATGGACTCACACTGTGTGGTCTTTGGTGTCAGGTTTCTCACTGAGCATCTCGTCATCAAGGCCTGTGTCAGAGCTTCACTCCTTTTCATGGCTGCATCATATTCCACTGTGCACATGGACCCTATGCTGTTTTCCAGTCATCAGTTGATGGACATCTGCTTGTTTCACTTTTGACCATTAGGAATAGTGCTGCCGTGGACACTCCCATGTGCACAGGACACAGGTTTTCAGTTCTCTTGGGTATTTTCCTTGAACTTTGTCATACACTCACGCAAGCAAGGTACCTGTAGCGCCAGAGCACGGGGCATCGTACCCATCATAAATCAGACAGTAGGGTTGGTCATTCTAGCTTAGAGCCTGTCTAAATAAAATTAAAACCAATAACTTTAAAATCTTAAAATCTGCAAATGAACAATTTAAAAAACTCATGGGGGTATTTTTTTAAAATATATTTTATTGATTTTTTACAGAGAGGAAGGGAGAGGGATAGAGAGTTAGAAATATCGATGAGAGAGAAATATCGATCAGCTGCCTCCTGCACACTCCCTACTGGGGATGTGCCTGCAACCAAGG